GGAATAAACTGAATTGACAGCCCATTAGTTTGTGTAACAATCAGATTATTGTGTGAGTTCGTGCAATGCTAGTCAGCATGAAGAGAATCAGAGATGGACTAATGAGAAATGCAGGGCTACTAGAGTTTAGATGACCTCCTGTGTGCACAGTCACTTCTGCTGAAGACATCAGACAGTGTTCAGTTTTCATGAGGGATCTTTTCTGGAAGGTCTCTCCTGGTTTTAGCAGAGTACAAAACATGGATTATTAGGAGCTGATCCATCATGAACAGACTAGATAAGGAGCATCATCCACAGTGAGTTGCTCATCCTGTGTTAATGCTGCTTTATTAAGTTTCTCAAAAAAAAAAAAAATTATAATTTTAAATGGAAATAAAATGATTGACATATATTAATGTTAACATAATATCCAATATTATGATTATATTATTAATTAAATGGTGCATGTATCCACATAATACCATTAGCCTACAATGAATGATAAAATATAAAATAAAATAAATTACAATAAAATAAAAATTGAAAAATAATGAATGATAAAATATAAAATAAAATTAATAAAAATAAAATAAAAACTTTTAAAGACATAAGACTTTACAGTGTCATTACCTCAGTCTTATTCCCTGTTGTTCTTCAGTCTATAGTTAACTAAAACTAAAGCCATAAAAAGGTTACTTAAAATAAATGATAACTGAAACAAAATGAAACATAAAACCTATATAAAACTTATAGTTTTATAAAGTTTTATAAAAATGTGAAACTTTTATTTCCGCTGGTTGCCAGGCTAACATTTATTATTACTTTAGCTTAACTTGATGTACTAAAATAACTAAAAATAAAACTGAAATAAACCATTCAGGGTGTAACTAAATAGACATATATAAAAAAAGTTTCCAGTTACTATCGTAACCTCAGTTCCCTGAGAGCAGGAACGAGACATCGCGAAGCATTCGCAGTGGGAACTCCTCCCCTTTTTCCTGAAAATCCTGAAACCTTCTTGGATAATGTCAGTACAATAAATTGGCTAATCATCACTAATTATGCAAATCACATGCAAATAATGACTAGCCTGCGGGCAGTATATAATGCGGTGAGAGTGACAATTGCCTCAGAATCTAAGACTGAATGCTTGCACTACTGATCGAGCTGCGATCACGGCGACCTTCGCAATGGCTCGTTCCCACTCTCAGTGAACCGAGGTTACGACAGTAAACGGCGCTCTGAGTCTCGGCATCACGCGAGGTTGGCAGCTCGGAAGACAAAGCGGGCAAAGAAATGACCCACGCTTTAAAGGGGGTATAAAGAGACTAAGGCACGTAGCCCGGTCTCGGCCAAAGAGTAATGGTCCCCCCAGGCCCAAAGCAAATACAATCGCCATCCACCGAGAGCGCATGCATATCTCCTATGCACTTAGGCAAGGGCAAGAAGCAGAGCAGTTTTGAGGGAGAGCTCCCTCCCTCATAGCAATAAATGCTAAGGGCTCGAACGGAGTAGAGAGAGAGATTTCATAACCAGCGCTAGGTCCCACGGCGGCTTTGACGGTGGGCATGGGGGATGTAATCTCCTCACTTCCCTGAGAAATCTGACCACCAGTGCGTGCCTCTCGATCGATTGCCTGTCAACCGGGGAACGAAACGAAGCAATAGCGGCCACCCACATAAACCTTTAGTGTTGACGGTAGACTCCAGTTATCTAGCCTGTGCTGCAGATAATGTAAAACGTCCGACACAGGACAGCTTGCCGGGTCGATATCTCTATCACAGCACCATTTCACAAACACTCTCCATTTAAGAGCGTACAGACGCCTAGCAGAAGGTGCACGAGAATCAGTGAGTGTGTCAAGCACATGGGGAGGCAGGGCACCTCTAGGACCCCTGAAGAAGCCACACATGAAGGCTTCACAGCTCCGGGCTGGGGTGCCATATCGAGTCATTCACTTGAGACAGTGAGACAGTGAAAAGAACAGTGGGCAGTGCGTGTTCTCGCTCGTTGCAATTGCCTGTCAACCGGGGAACGAAACGAAGCAATAGCGGCCACCCACATAAACCTTTAGTGTTGACGGTAGACTCCAGTTATCTAGCCTGTGCTGCAGATAATGTAAAACGTCCGACACAGGACAGCTTGCCAGGTCGATATCTCCATCACAGCACCATTTCACAAACACTCTCCATTTAAGAGCGTACAGACGCCTAGCAGAAGGTGCACGAGAATCAGTGAGTGTGTCAAGCACATGGGGAGGCAGGGCACCTCTAGGACCCCTGAAGAAGCCACACATGAAGGCTTCACAGCTCCGGGCTGGGGTGCCATATCGAGTCATTCACTTGAGACAGTGAGACAGTGAAAAGAACAGTGGGCAGTGCGTGTTCTCGCTCGTTGCAAAGATCCTCCTCCTCCCTCCCGAAGTGGTCCCAAATCATCCGAACCGAACTAGGATGCAGCCTCCCCGTGAGGAATTCCGTTCCTCGAAAGCATGTCCACTCTGTGAATTAGCAGACCGGGGATATGAGCCGCTCTGATGGAGAGTAGATGATGATCTGCCCATAATAGAAGACTCGCAGCCTGCTTGAAAAGGGCTCTGGAGCACACGCCACCTTGGTGATTTATGTATGAAACCACAAACATATTGTCGTTGTGAATCAGCACATGTCACTGTTCCAGCTGTGGCAGAAAAGCCACTAAGGCTAAAGACACCACTTTTAGTTCCAAGCGGGTTATGTGCCACCTGCTCTGAGACTCTGACCACAGGCCTGAAGTCGGTACACCCCTGCACACTGCTCCCCAGCCTGAGGTTGACGCATCTGTCGTAACCACAGTGCGTGCTGCTACCAGTCCCAGGGGAACCCCCCGGCTGAACATTTCTGGGTCACGCCACAGTCTCAGAGCGCTGACGCAGCTGTGTGTGACCACGATGCGCATGCGACCTGTGGTCCATGCTCTCCACGGAACTCGAGTTTTCAGCCACAACTGTGCCGCATGTGCAGAAGACCCAGGTGGCAGGCTGATGAGGCCCACACCATAAGTCCCAGAAGCCTCTGAAATTCCCTCAAGGGAACAGACCGGCCCGTTTTGAAGAGGCGCAGAGCTGATGAAATGGTTGTTATGCGCTCTTGAGAGATGCGGGCTCAGGGTGAACATGCTCTTCTGCATATTCACACGCAGCCCTAGGGACTCCAGGTGGCGAAGCAGTGCATCCGTATGACTGATAAGCATATCTCGTGAATGGGCTAAAGTCAGCCAATCCAGATAGTTTAGAATGCGCATACCGCTCGCTCTGAGAGGGGAAAGCGCCGCATTTATGCACTTTGAGAACGTGCGCAGTTCTAAAGCCAGCCCGAATGGGACCACTGAGTACTGGTATGCCGTGCCCTCAAAAGCAAACCTCAGAAAGCGTTTGTGGCGCGGTACTATCTGAATATGAAAGTATGCATCTTTCAGATCTACGAATGCAAACCAGTCCCCGGGATGGATTTGTGCAAGGATCTGCTTCAGAGTCGTCATCCTAAATGCACGCTTGTGAAGTGCTCTGTTGATGGGTCTCAGGTCCAGAATCAGACAGAGTCCCCCATCTCTCTTGGGCACCACAAAATAGCGGCTATAAAACCCGCTCTCCAGCTCGCTCGGAGGGACTTGCTCTATCGCTCTATTGCAAGGCTGTGTGTGAACCTCCTGTCTCAAAACAGGGACATTTTGAGGCATTGTCAGTTACGGAACCACGCCGTTGAAATGGGGAGGTCTGTGTCTGAACTGGAGGGAATACCCGTGTTCTATAATGCTCAGCACCCAGTGTGAAATGCCTGGAATAGCTCTCCACATGTCTAGGAACTGACATAGCGGCTGAGTCTCTCCGGTCGCTATTGCTGGCAGTGATGCTCCTCTGAGTCCTCGAAACACATGCTGGCAAGTCAGTGCAGTGCACGCAGTCGGACTCGGAGAACTCCGCCTCAGCATGGGCCAGGTCCTGGCAGGCGATGCAGTGCTCGTGCAGGTCCTCCGGGTCGATGGGGCCCATGCAAATTCGGCAAAAGGTAGCCATCAGATGCGGTAAAGAAGCTGTCATATCTTCTGGTGCGTCTTTGACGATGGCAACGTGAAGGAGAAGATTCTGAGGCAACTGTCGCTCTCACCACATTATATACTGCCCACAGGCTTGTCAGTATTTGCATGTGATTTGCATAATTAGCGACAATTGGCCAGTTTATTGTACTGGCGTTATCCTATAAGGTTTCAGGATTTTCAGAGAAGGAGATGAGTTCCCACTGTGAATGTTTCACAATGTAGAGTGAACGCTCAAAAGGGAACTAAACAAAACTAAACAAAAATTAAAAAGGAAAGTATTCAAATTAAAACAAAAATAAAAACATCAAAATATTAATAAAATCTATAATACTATATCAGTGATACTAAATAACACTGCTGAATGCACGATGAAGCTGTATAATATGCCTGACATGTATCTGCTGATCTTAAAATAAAATAAAACTTTTAGTTGAGTACAGTCTCTCCTAGAAAGTAAACTTCCTAGATTCATTAAATTATAGGTAGTTTTACTGAATTAAGAGGAATTTAAAAACAACAACAACAACAAAACTTTTACATTTTGTAAAAAAAAAAATTCAAACAATGTTACAACATAAAATGAATAAGAAATATGTTTGTATGTATGTGTGTATGTATTGATTGATTTATAGTTATTTAACTATTTATTTAGTTAGGTATTAGTTAGTTACTTTGCTAATCAAAGTAGAAGCTACACACTTCTGTTACTGAATGCTTGTTGAAGCCGAATAACATGCCTGACAAGTATCTGCTGCTCTTGGAGGAAGTTGGTGTGTGATTCGGGTGGAGGATGAGGTCCTCTCTGGTGGTGTCTGGTGGAGATAAGGGTCTGCGGGCACGACTTGGACGAATGAGGCAACTGCTGTGCCAGACTGGGCATCATGTGGATGTGCAGATGGACGAGGAGCCTGGCGTTTGGCTCAGGAGCTTCCATCTGCTGGACCTTGAGGAATGCAGCGGCGGTGTCTGGTGGAGATAAGGGTCTGCGGGCACGACTTGGACGAATGAGGCAACTGCTGTGCCAGACTGGGCATCATGTGGATGTGCAGATGGACGAGGAGCCTGGCGTTTGGCTCAGGAGCTTCCATCTGCTGGACCTTGAGGAATGCAGTGAGGTCTGTGCTGATGAAGATCTATTGACAATTACATTTGCATTTATTCATTTAGTATGCTCTTTAATGCAAAGCATCTTACAAATAAGCTGTATAAATTATAAAGATTCAGAGCTGGCTAGAATTGAGCTTAGACAGAACAACAGTAAATCTCCAATAGTATATCTTATAAACCTCTGATGTATATTTGTTGATTGTAATATATGAAAAATATTCCTGAGGTAATTCATGCATCCACTTTCGTCAGGCTCACTTTTGTTGAATTGACACTACCATTCAAACTTTTTCTAAATTTTTATTTTTTTTAAAGAAATTAATACCTTTATTAAGCAAGAACACATTAAATTCATCAAAAGTGACAGTGAGGACATTTATAATGTTACAAAAGATTCCTATTTTGATAATCTTGATCAAATGTATCACGGTTTCCACAAAAATAGTAAGCAGCACAACTGTTTTTAACACTGATGATAATAAGAAATGTTTCTTGAGCAAATCAGCATATAAGAATTATCTCTGAAGGATCATGTGACACTGAAGACTGGCGCAATGAAGCTGAAAATTCAGTTTTGCATCACAGGAATAAATTACATTTTAAATATATTCACATAGAAAAGTTATTTTAAATTGTAATAATATTTCACAATATTACTGTTTTACCGTATTTTGATAAAATAAATGTCTTAAAAAACATTAATCATTAATTAAAATCTTACTGACCCCCCAAAAATTTGAGCATTAGTGTATGTTGTTGTTGTCATAAATAAAATTAAAATAAACCAAAAATAAAATTATGGGTAAGGAGCAATGGGGGTTTAGGTATCACCCTGAATGGTTAAAAATTGTTTAAATGTTTACATTTATCTACTACCAGAGTTATTACCTGACAAGATGTTACTAAGCATGTCAACAATGAAAAGTATGTTAACATTGCTGGTATGTACTTTGTGTGTGTGTGTGTGTGTGTGTGTGTGTGTGTGTGTGTGTGTGTGTGTGTGTGTTAACTATTCTATCTATGTATTTTGAGCATAACACAAGACACCAAAATAACATTTAACTAATCTAACCAATTAGTTTCAATGATTCTGGTGAAGTTAAGTTTATTGTAAAGATTAAATATTTTGGCAATACATATTTGAACTTTCTCTGTTTTGCTTGTTTGAAATAAAAGTTGACCTGAAAAATAATTCGTCCCAATAAAATAATGTATTGAATTTCACACGTAAATGCACTTTTAAATTGCACTGACTGTTTTGATGTAATTGGCATTAAGACTTTGTTGCACCAGTTAATTTGATGGTGTAATGAAGTAATTTAATTTAATTTCTTAATTTAAAATGAAGTAAAAGTGATGTTTGTTTGAGTGTGTGAATGCACACACACCAGCATATGACCTCTGCCTTAGTAATGAGTGGTATTATTAGTGGATATAGATAAATACTTTTATCGTGATGGTCGTGGTCTCTCAATAAGAGTTCAGTAGTGTGCGTCACTTATTGTTATGTTGTAGTGTATCTGTGAGCGTGGGGTAAAAACTGTAAATTATCAATTGTATGGTTGAATTATTTGTTTATAAATTAGATGCTGCTTAATTTGTATACATTTAGTTTAATTCCTTTTAAGTCTTGTATTTTGCCCAAATTCTCATACCAAGAAATCTCAGAATGACATGGTAAAATAAAATATTTCAATCATAATCTTAATTTTCAATTTAAAATGAAGTCATGTGGATTTCCATACTTCCACACTTGACATTGTGAATCCTACTATACCTAAGGCTTAGGTCATGAATATTAATTAGCAATGCGAAGTTGCTTGGTAAACTACCAGAGGCGTTCCACGCAACGTAATTAATATTAATGAGCGCGCCCCGTACGTCATACTAAACGTAATTTTCCAACCCACTGCAGTTTAAAGCGCTTGACAGGTGTGCTGTGCTATATAGACAGCTAAAACACAGACATAACCGTAAATATAATCATTTTCTTCGGTCACGGATTTCATTTTCCTTTAAAGCATAATATATTTGATGACAGTAATGGTAGTACTGTATGAAACGTACAGTAAGTTGACTTTATCTTCACTGGAGTTCTTAATTAAACCTCACTTCGCAAAGCTATCCATTTCCACCAGCTCTCTAGACATGGTAGTCAAGTTTGACACTAGCTGACTAAGAAATAAAGTTTACAAGTTTTTTTTTGCTGCGCTAATGCAAAGTCTAAACGCTTACACTACTTGATCATACTGAAGAAATAAAGAGCTGAAAACATGGCAAAATGGGAGTTCACAATGGTAAGTCGCTTACTTAATTAGGCTATTTTCATCAAGGACATTAATTCTGTTTAATATTAGTTTAAAAATTAGAATGACTTGAGAAAAAGTAACTTTGTATCATCAGATCTGGAAACGCGATTTGTTGTTGTAGAGTGTGTCGCGCGGCGCATTAGTGTTTCTCTTCACGTTAATGCCAGAGAAAATGCAGTATATCCTGTTCTTTTTTTTGCGGACATCTCAGTACTGTCACAAAAGCTCAATGTTTTTACAATTAGACGTGATATTGGCTTTAGGAAAGCGTTTAAGTGTTACATGTAATGCGTGCTCAGGGTAGGGTGCGGTGCGCTTCACTTTTCCCTCGGGAGTCTCACAATAGAACCGATCTTGTGTTTGTTCTTAGACCCACCTGGAGATTGAATATATTTACAGTGTCCCGTTTCACAGCTGACCTGTGATAGTTTCAGCTTTCCCTTCCCCCATCATTCCCTGTGTTTTGTTCCATGGCACAGTTTTGAAGGAGACACAAGGCTTTGGCTTGGAAAGCTCTCTGTTTTGCTTGACTGGAGTTTCTGGGAAGAATGCACTTGTGATTTTCACAGCAATTGATTTGTTAGAGTAATAGACTGCCCTTGGTTTACTTGGAAGCGCAACCCTTTCCAAATGTGTGGTTTGCATATTATGTAGCCTATATTCTGTGATATCCATTGAGCTTTTGGAACAGCAGTGATTCTTGAGGCTTAGAACAAAACAGGGTACAGCAGTGATTGACTTGACAGCTTACATATTTTACATGTCACACATGTATTTAATACAGCAGCATATTTTCTGGTGTTGCTATACTAATAGGTCCCACTTAAAATAAGGCAAATTAGCTAATTATCTAAATGATCTTAATTAAAAAAAAAAAAAGTGTTGGAGTTGACATACAGGACATATATATATATATATATATTTATTTATATTAGAAGTGTTTCTTTAAAAATACAAATTTATTTTTATTAGTTAATATAAGATAATATACACCACCATTCAAAAGTTTGGAGTCAGTAAGTTTTTGTTATGTTTAAAGAAGATTTTGTACTCAAGGATCAAGAATACAGTACAACCGCAATGTTGTTAAATATTATTACAGTTTATAACAACTGCTGTCTATTCTAATACTGTATAATTTAAATTGTAATTTATTCCTGTGATGCAAAGCTGAATTTTCAGCAACATTACTGCAGTCTTCAGTGCCACATGATCCTTCAGAAATCATTCCAATATGCTGATTTGGTGCTCAATAAATATTTCTTATTATTATCGATCCTGAAATTGTGATACTTAATATTTTTGTTGAAACTGATTTTTTTTTTCATGATTCTTTGATGAATAGAAAGTAAAAAAAAAAAGAAGCATTTATTAGAAACAAAACTTTTGTAACATTATAAATGTCGCCCTTTGAACAATGTAATGCATCCTTGGTGAATAAAAGTATTAATTTCTTTAAAAAAAAAACTGACCTCAAGCTTCTGAATGGTTGTGTATTATTTTATGTACAACTAATTATTTTATTTTACATGAAGCATTAAGTTATGTTATTAGGATAGGTGATTTTATAGATATTTATCTTTTTTTAATTTAAAAACAATTAAGTAAACATTGTTTTTTAAAACAATATAGGACATATATCCCGTGTTCAAGAATCAGTGATAGATGACACCATTATGCTAATATGTCCTCAAGCCAGTTGTTATGAGCTCATCTAATATTGGTCACATCTGAATTAGTCAACAACCAGCTCAACAACAACAACAACTGTGTTTTCCCTGGTAGAGAAAACACTGGACTTAATGTACTCCAGTATGTTACACAGTCTGTCTTTGTTTAAAATCATCAGGGTTTTTTTTTTTTCGCCCACAGCTGTTAGTCATTGTGGGTATGATATTTGCTATGCAAATACTCATGGCTTCATTTTACCACCAAAGAGGATTTTTGTAAAGAAATTACTAAGTATTTTTGGTGTCAGCTAGTTATGGTTTTCCACCATGAAAGACCTTAAATGATTTCTCTTCTTTCCTTAAAATGAAAATGAAAGGTCTTCTTGTGTGGGCATCATTAAAGAGCGGTGTTATTATTTTTAGTACTGTAAAAATGTTTGGTGTATTTGCTTATAACATGATTTGAACTCTGTATTGTACATGATTTTGTTGAAAAAGCATCTGCTAAGAACATAAATGTAATGTACAATGTATTGTCTTCTCAAGCCAGTGAAGATAAAATGTATTCACTCCTCTTGACTTATAATTTGGATAACAATTTGCCTGTATTTTGCAAAACTCCTGTTTTGTATATTTCTTCCTGGAAAGTGAAATGTTAGGTCAGTGCCTTGCAGGTATTGTTTTTTTTTTTTTTTTGGAAATTGAAGACCTACATTTCAGTGCAGTTCACTGCAGAAGCCAAATCCACTGCAAGTCCACTGCTGTTCTGTTTTTCTAAAATCCCATGAACTGCTGCGGTATAATCATGACTGTAAAATAGAATCTTTATGGCACTGTGTTTGTTTAATAGTGCTACAATAGGCATCATATCAAGCTTTACAGAAGGTTCAATGTGTGCATATTTTTCCTTAAGTCAGCTGCAAATTCAACATGTATAGCCTGATGATGTATTTGTCTAGGACCCGGTGCAGGAGTGGGGAGAGGAGGTGGAAGACGGTGCCATTTATGGGGTCACTCTTCACCGAGAACCCATCCAGCCCCCACCTGATGCTGCTGAGAACTCTTCTGCCTTCGGCTTCATGCAGTACCGCACACTGAAGGTCCGCAGGCTTAAAGCAGCCACTCTGGAGCGTCTTGTCTCAGAATTGGTGAACCCGGAGTGCCCTGACCCAGACTACATGCAAATCTTCCTCTCCACCTACAGAGCCTTTACCTGCACAAATGCTTTCATAGAACTCCTGTTTCAAAGGTTAGCACAAATGCTCAGTTGGTGTTAATTTAATTGCTGTCTCAGAGGGTTATAGGGACATTACGCTAACATTTACTGTTTAAAGGGGTCATATGATGCTGCTAAAAAGAACATTATTTTGTGTATTTGGTGTAATGAAATGTGTTTATGCGGTTTAAGGTTCAAAAAACGCATTATTTTCCACATACTGTACTTTATTGTTTCTCCTCTATGCCCCGCCTTTCTGAAACGCGTCGATTTTTACAAACCTCATTGGTCTGAAAAGCGAGGTATGCTCTGATTGGCCAGCTATCCAGTGCATTGTGATTGGCCGAATACCTCAAGCGTGAGACGGAAATGTTACGCCCCTCACCATACTGT